AGAGAGAGAGAGAGAGAGAGAGAGAGAGAGAGAGAGAGAGAGAGAGAGAGAGAAAATAGACAAATAAAATAAAATAAAAAATAAGATAAAATAAAATAAAGAGAGAGAGGGGAAAAGAACAGAAAAGTCTCTGATACGACGTGGGACAAGAAGCCTCCAAAACGCCATTGAGTCCATTTCCTGTTGACCCTTGACTGCGGGTCCTGCAGCCACCCTTAGGAGTGGTTTGTTTCCCAGTGAGACTCCTTTGGAGGAAACTCAATTTTCATTTGCAAGTGGTTACCAATTGGCGATACCTCCTGGTTAGGCGTGGGGGCCATGTGTCCACTTACTCTTCCAGCTCTGGGACCCCATCTGCTGCGGACCCCTGCCGGCCCTGTGCATGCGGTCTCGGACTCTGAGAGGCGTTCATACGAGCTTTGATCCTGTTGAGTTAGAGGGCCTTGTTTTCTCATGTCCGCCGTCCCCTCAGGCTCTTACACGCTTTCCTCCCGATCCTCCGTGGGGTTCCCTGAGCCATGACGGAGGGGATTGATGGAGATAACTCATTTTGGGCTGGGTCACTAATATGGCTACCCGCAAACTCTGGGGAGCCCCTGTCTCCACCTTCTGGGGGAGTTACAAGTAGAATTTCTGGAGAGCCAACCTCTAGTTCTCACCTTCAGTCAGAGTCATCTCCCAGGCCTCTCTTGCATGTTCTCAACTCCAGCCTCCTCCTCTTTCCTGGAACTCCAGTAGCGCATGCCTTAGATCTTTGGCACCACAGAGCCCGAGGGATCATCCTCCAGCTGCTCTTCTTTTGGCTTGGATTGGTTGTGGCTGATGATGTTGCTGGTTTGGTTTTGAGTTTAGGTTCGGTTGTTGTTGCTGTTGTTTGGGTTTCTTTTGGTTGTTGTTAGTTTTGGTTTTGTTGTTGTTGAGTCTTTTTTTTCCCACTCTCCATTATTCAGGGAGGGTCTAGCCTCGGGTCCACCGGTCCTCTTCTCCATCAACTCCACTCTGCTGTTGAGCTCATCCATTTGAGATTTTTCTTTCAGTTACTTTTCTTTTCAGTTCTAAATGTCGTTTAATTTTGTTTCTTTGCTGAGTTTTTCTGTTTGTTTTTGCTGAGGCTTGACATTTGTTGTTTCAAGTGTGCTTGTAATCGTCAAGTGCAATTTCTGTCGTGGCTATTTAGTTCGACAGGGACAGGGGTGAGGCACTACCTCGTCACCTCTAGATGGAAACAGAAGACCAGGCTCCATTCAGCCCCCAATGGTTCCCGAGTAGGAGAGTTCTGCATTGCTGCTGAGAAGGATGGGAATTCTGGCTCCTGTGTGGTCTTCACTGGCACCGAGAAGAGTCCTTGTACTGCAGTGTGAGTTCTGATCGTCCCAAAGGCCTCAGGTGACACCACTGTAGTGGGGAGGGGGGGCGGGGGGCTCACCAGGGCTGCGTGGGGATAAACGCCCCTGCTCATCTCACCCGTACCACGCAAGAGGGAGTGTTGGTGTGCTTTTTACCCACGGAGCCATTTCCCCAGTCCCACTGGGCTCTTCTCGTAGGAAGCTTGCCTTTTCAAGTGGTATATTTTCTCTGCATAGCTCTGGACTCAGTCACTTCCCTGTAGAACACTGGTTCCTTTTTTTTAATGACATAGAAACTAAGAACCATGAGCTACACGTGGCCATTGGCATTCAGCTGTCACGGCTTCCAGGCCCTCACAGTGACAACAAGGAAGTGTGGGTGTGTGTCGTAATCCATGTACACACGTGTCTGAATTGTGTGTGCGTGTACACACATTCATACTGAAAACTCCAGTGCCACGTCGCCACCATCATCCCAGCATTTTATCTTCTATTATTTGTGAGTTCCTTTTCTGGGGAAACCTGCCTGTAATTATCTACAATATTTAATTGTTCAACACTGGTATACAGAGAGAGTTCATCTGTACCTGCATGGGAAACAGATCTTCTGAGTCCAAGACAATTTCCGTGTGCAGTACTGTTCAACTTAGCCGCGCGGCAGCCAAACAAAACACAGATTTCCAGAGTCACTCAGTTCAGCTCTGTGTCCCTGCCTCCTTCCATGTGATTATGCCATTCACTTGTAATGAGGTCTGAGTCACTGGCCACATCCTACAGTTGATCTTATGCTTCCCTTCAGCTGGTGATACTTTACAGTTTGTATAAAATCCCCCTCTGTGGTGTCCGGTCTTACGGGTTTTATGGGTGCCCAACTATCTTAGTCCCTTTTCCTGCTGCGATGATAAAACACTCTAACAAAAGCAACTTCAGGGAGAAAGGCTTTGCTTTAGCTCCCAGCTCAAGATACCATCCGTGGTGGAGAAATGGAGGCACAGAGACCTGAAGCAGCTGCTCACATGGCACCCGTAATCTGGAAACGGGAATGAATGCACGACCTTGCTCAGGTCCCTTTCCCGATTTATACTGTCCCAAACCCAAGTTAGGGAATGGCCACAGTGGGAAGGTCTTCCCACTCAATTAAGCAGTCCAGACAACCCCCTCAGGGATGTCCAGAAGGCCCACTAGCTGGGGTATTCTAGATCCTGTCAAGCTGACAATTAATATCAACCATCATACCAGTCACCCACTCCCAATCCTGTCACCTGATTGGCTTTTTGTCCTAATGGTTTTATTTTTGCAGATATTATTGTGTATGGTGTGGTGTGGTGTTGTGTGTGTGTGGTGTGTGTGTGTGTGTGT